ACACACATACATATACACACACACACATATATATACACATACACACACACACACACACACACACACACACACACACACATATATGTACTTTCTACCACTGAAAGTCCCTGAAATGGTATGATAAGAACGTTCGCACAAATATGGCCGAAATTACTAATTTGTTCCCTGAATGATTCTGATGGGTCACCGAATTTAGTGCAACACCTGTGTAGAGATACCACCGATTAGATAGTGAACTTTGACCCGGTACTTTATGGAGAAACGTTTGAAAAGACATCCCCGCCTCTCATTCTGTCAGTTTATCCAGATAGACCATTTCTTCTACACCAGGAGTATATAACTGTTCTACTTCTGACGCAGTAAGTCACGTTACCGCTGCCGTGGCTCGCCATCCTCGCGCTGCTGGTAGTCAGCGCCACTGTCGCGCGCCTGGCCACCAGGCTTCCCATGCGTCCTGCAATCAGGTGGAGCATCTGAAAACAGGTGGGTAAAAGGAAAGCACGAGGTCACGACGATGCATGTTCCGGCACCACGCGCATTACTTTGGAAATTGATACCAGGTAACCATCTTGAAACTACTATGGCTAATTAGCAGTAGGCTAAGCTAATTCATGTCAGTTTAATAAACAAGATTGGACGTGCACCTGGACACTAACACATACAGGCTGCAATCAGGTCTATGGGCTGCATCAACTCAAATGCTTCTTTAATTAGTAGGTTGGTGCAGTAAATGCCAGGCCCACCTACAGTACTCTGTCACAAAGTTAATTGTATTGTAAGCAGGACAAAAGTACCGAAATGCAAAACATTTTGTATTTTAAGACTCAGAAGGGCAGTTACATTAAGCCAAGACAATTATTTTTGATCTATTGTACACAGAAAAATGTAAAGTCTCCATTTACATGCATTGATTCCTGTTGGCATTTAATTGGCCATTGATTCTCTTTGAAAAAGCAAACGGTGGATACGCTTAACTGTCCGCCTGTTATTCACAACAGTGAATCAGAAGATCGCATTAAGTGCTTTGCAAAGGTGGCCTGGATGATTGCTAAATCTCTTATTAGCCAGTCTGCCTCCCTCGTTAGCGTTTACCGTTAAATACACTGCGGTGTAACATACAATGATAAAGCCGCCCACTAAAATAGAATTGTTACAGGCACAGATGTCGGTGCCTCAAGCCAAGCAGGAACAACATGTATACCTATAACTAAATGTGATCTTTATATAGTTCAGATATGATCTTTGAAAATACAGAAGTTTAAAATTGTATTTATATTACTCTATACTATACATTAATCAGTGCACCTCCGTTATTGATGCTCCAGTGAAAAGGGACGTGGCTTTTGTTGGTGAGAACTAATTAACAAATCTAACCATGCTTGTTAAGTTTGTTTAGCCATAGTTTTATTATTATCTGTAACTGAAGATGCCAACTATCCGGGTTTGTTTGTATTTGATTTCATTAAAGTTCATATAATATCAATATCGGTGTTAGAGTAAACCACGAACGGGTATTGTTAAGTTTAGTTATTGTTTATTGATTCAGTTCTGCATTTCAGTAGTTAATCATTATCTTTATTTGTTACTTACCATAAACACCATGTGTTCCAGATTATTAAGGAGGAGGTGCCAAACCATTTCCTCTATTTATACACTGGATGATGTCAGCAGTGACGTCATGGGGTCAGACCAAGTATGTGGTGAAGTAGACCATGTATAGGTGTGCATTTAGGTTAGTTGTGATCTGTTATGCATGGTTGTAAGTGTATAGCATATGGTAAACTATCTCATAGAGTGTTTGCTACCTGAAGGTTTGCAGTGAGCTATAGCTTTAGTCTCTTACCGGTTTGAGGAAGTATTCGGTGTCGCCTGCACTCATGGTACGAACTAGATCCTGCTGATGGAAGGCTCTATATAAGGAGAGGCCTTTGGCTGTTAGGGGGGGATGAACCTCAGTGTGTAGCTGTTTGCGCGTGGTGTTATGTTAATCTAAGTTACCTTCATGATGAGTTGAGTTTTATTCAGTTAAGCTAACAGTTTTTGTTTGTTTGTATCTGTGATTGGTTACATGTGTGGCAGGGCCAGTCTTGTAAATAAACACCATTTTTTTTTTCTGGACAGAGTTTCTCGTGTCTGCCTCCTCCCACTGTCCAAGCCTCTTGGGTCAGGCTCCCTCACAGCTTTAGATGCCAATGATAAATCCCAAGTGATTTTTGTGCAGGGACGGAAGCCGCTGTTATGTGTGATAATGCTGGTATAACCGTCAAGTTACGCACATTTACATAAAAGTTGGAAGTTCTGGAAGTACCAGTGCGACAGATCATGTTATGGCATGCGAAAATGCACGTTCAGTCTGTGAGTTATGTTTCTAAGTCATACTGATAGTAGGAATAATGTGTATTAGCTATGTTTAAAGAGTTTCTCTTCCATTGCTTTTGTGTTTGTCCTTTTACCCGTCGTCCTGTAGCCTATCACACACACACACACACACACACACCCAATCACACTCTCGCAGCAAACGGAAAAGGCAGAAATTGGCATTTAGTCAATTTTAGAATCTGAGCTGACCTAGTTAAACGGACAGAAGTAAACAGAAATGTTTGACCTGTTTTACTAACTTATCTAAGGACAAATACGTGACGGACTCACGAGGTAGGAATACGTGTTATCCCTGCAGGTTAAACAATGGGACTGTATGGAGCAATCTCCAGATCGTGCTTTTATTCTGGTATAAACATGGCACAGTCTCATTTGACACACGTCATTCTTTCTCTAAAGCATTTTTCAGCTAACACAGCTGCTGCACAAAGCTCTCAGCCAGATCTGTCTCATGGTTTAGTATCTTTTCTGCACGTCCGCCACTCTCCCTGGCTGTGTGGGGTTAAGGGAGGGAGGTTTTTTGGGGGTGACGGAGTGGTGGGAGTCTAACCCTCCGTCATCTACTCCTTGAAAAACACCATTATAGTCTGATTATTTAATTTGGCAAAGATAGATACTCACTGTAGTTGCAAGAGAGAGGGGAACTGCAGGATTAGAAGATGCAGCAGCAAAAAGAAAAAGGCCGAATCTTGAGAGAAAAGGTCTGTTTAGGCCGTCTGTCCCGTTTCGTCTCTGCTCCCAACGTCAAACACTGAGCAGGAACCAACTGGTGGGCGGGAGGAGAGAGAGGCTGGATGGGGAGGAAGAGAGAGAGGAAGGGAGGGAAGGAGATCAAACTTGTACAAGTAAACAATGTAGCAAAGCATGTGATTGGACTGGCTGAGCGAGAAAGAGAAAGCTGGTTGAGTTTAGACACTGTCTCTCATTTCCCTCATTCTCCCTTCTACCTCCCTCCACGCTCTACTTGCACAGACGGAGCCGAGGTCGCTTTATGTGAGGTTACGTTAGGACATGGGGGTGGGGGAGTGGGGGGACGACTATATTTTACAGCGGGCAAAAAGGGGAAGCGTGTGAAAGTGAGACGGCGAGGTTTGTGGAAAGAGAGTCAAAGAAAGTCGACGAGAGATGAGTTGGAACCTTTTACCCCCAACTAACTACTCCGCGAGTGCAGGTTGGCACCGGGCCACCATTATCCCAGAGTTGCTGGCGGGGAGCCAAGGGGCCGTCTGCCTGTGGAGGGTGGTGTGTGGCAGCCACCGGTCACAGGGGAGGAGAGTCTCAGGGGTCGGATAAGGACAGACTTCTTAATTCAGCAACATGCCTAAACTCCAGAGACTAAAAACATGTTTTTTGACTGTTTTGAAATTATATAACTTTTCTCCTGTCAGACAGTTAACAGGTCTGTGATCAGATGTTTCCACTTCCAATGTGTTGTTATGTAGAGGGCGGTACAGCGGACCACAGTGTTGTGTTGTGGTACAGTATAAGATCAGGTGCCTTTGTGTCTCTGTTTAACACCATTGTTGTGTTATATAACCCTGTAATATGTGCTCAGCTGCAGTATCTGTATCTGCATATTCACCCGCCTCCCTTCCACCAACTCGGGACGAAGTGCATTCAGAGTGTCGTCTGGCAGGATCGGGCTGGTGAATTATTGTCCGGTATATTTTTCTTTATGGTTGTATTGCATTTGCTTCTTAAACTGCATTGGTGGAGAGTAAGTACGATTACCAAGCTCATGCTTCTCCAGACACATATTCTACTTTTCTTTCCACTGCATTTAACTGCCAGACGATTTTGCATTTTACACACAAAACGTACACTCGCTTGCAAGTTTGTTTGGTGCACATAGCTCAATCTAATGCGGTATATCAGCCTTGCAATAAACCTTTTGTGGGAGGTTTGTTTACTTCCTGTTGAATCTGTTTCAGAGAGCTCAATTCTCATAGAGAGAGCGAGGGAGCAGGAGAGAGGGAATAAGTCTGTCAAGGAGAAAGCACAAAGGAAGCTCAGGTGCTTCCCTAACAGATTTAGATACAGATGTTGCCACATTATTCTAGTGGGTCATGAGTGATGATTGAGAGGGGTTACTATGTATCAGTCTATACATTGTGTTTTTAAGGTAAATGCTGCATATTATACCTCTTTTAAGGACAGTGTTTGATGAAAAGTAAAAAAATTCAAACTTTGTGGACTGCTGTCATGTTAGTCTTCCTGCAATGCCAGCCCCCCCTCTTTGAATGCAGGACATTTACCTGTAATAGAGTATTTTTTTACAATCTGGTTTTACACTTAAACCGTTGGTAGCTTGATCTGTGAATTATTCAGAGTTAGAAAATTCATAAAATGATCTGCATAGCTAGATACCACATAGACGTAAATTAAATACTACGGACTGACCCTTTACCACTGGTGCGATGCTTTAAATATAAGTACCTTATATGTCCACTAGATGGCAGCACCAGACAAACATTGGAGGCTGAAGCGGTCAGTAAATCTCTTTTGACTCAACACATTTGAAAATGAAAGCAGTTAAAAAAAATAATAATTGTTGTATTATTCAGTTCAAAAACAAACAAAGCTAAGCGTTAATCTTGCTGGAACTGGCCGTATTTCACTGGGGTGGAACGTTTACATTTGCTGTCAGCCTCAAGCGTGCACAGTAATAACCAGTTACATTTTTGAATTATGATTGTTGGCTAAAACACCATCTGCATATAGTCCTGCAGTATATTGGAAGTATAATTATTCAGAGTGGTAATATATGTCGTTGCTTCAACTTTCTATCAAAGTAAATCACTTTTTACTGGATAGTTGAGACAAGTGATACTCAAAAAACCCTCCGTTAACTATTTCTTAAAGTCCTGTTTTCCTACATGGATTTAATGGTTTACACAGATGCGTCCCAACTTCTTGTAATAGCCGTTGTCTGTCAATATCATTACGGCAACTAGCCACATTCTGCCCGTCCAGTCGAGCTTCAGTTTTCATTTCTGGAAAAGCATCTGAAGCGGAGAAACACAAACATGATTGGTGTGCGGCAGATTTTCCAGAAATGCATCCAAAGCAGCCTCATGCATTTCTCTTCCCTGGACAAAAAAATAAATGTGTTATAAGCTACTCCCTCGACGACATGGAGCGAAGACGTTGTGTTTGTCAAACAAGACAGCAGCTGCCAGTACAACACACCTACACACACACAGTAGGGCACGCGTCCCTGATTCATTTATGGAAATTAGGTGAGGACCGTGACGGTGCAAATAACCCCAAATCTTCCCTCCTCCTCCACACACACTTTGTCCTTCATCCCCTGCAGGGCTTCACCCCACTTTGACCCCCCCCCAGCCGCCCGCTCCTGTCCCATTAGAATTGGAGATGTTTCTCCATCTCTCTTGAGGAAACGTTTGCCATCCGTCATCTCTCCTCTCCCCTTTGTTCAGTGCTCGCCCATTGTCCCCTTTTTATAACGATAAAGCAGCAGTAATGAGGATTGAAGGGAGGGAATCGGCCCTCCGAGTTTCAGCTTTTAGTCAATCTGGCACATTAACCAAACCACAGCGATACGCCTCCTTATAAACCAGCCCTAACGGCAGATCCCTCAGCAGCCTACTCCCAACATGTTTCCCATCTGACATCCTGACAAAAGTGTGATTTCAGCCTACAGCTTGCTGACGGTAACACTGACGCCTCTTGGTATTGAGGGGAGAAAAGTGGGGGGGGGGGGGGTGGTGCTTTGTCATCTCCAACGCCTCGTCACATTGTTCTCATGATTTCATCTCAGTTTACCCTGCAGGAAAGTGATTCCGAGGGTGACTCGCTTCTTGTGACTCCACTGTGCTTTTTGCAAGTTTTTTTTTTGTTTTTTTTTCTCTCAAGTTTCTCTTTCATCTCTTCATATGCAGCATACATAACAGTTGCTACAGCTTGCTCAGCTGAGGGGGAAACCGCAGGGCAGAGAAATGCTACTCGGTGTCTGCTGCTTGTCAGTCACAAGAGAAACGCGTCTGCAGCAAACCCGTAATTCCTCTGACATGGTGAATGTAGGTCACAGAACGCAAAAAGAAAACCCAGACTGAGGGTGTGTGGCCTCAGATCTTTTCTGCCACTGCTCAGCCTCGTGCTCTGTGCGTGTGAAAGCCTCAGACTCGTGCCTGCCGCTGCCTAACCTCAGCATGTCTTTGGCCTCTCCCGTAGAACTTGTGTGGACCTCGATGTGTCGGTACGCGAGTTTTGCGTAATTGTCTGCCCCCTCCACCCTTGAGGCATTGTGCTTAACTGGGTCATACTCTCAACTCTCCCAATGCTAACGATGTTGCTCCTCCTCCTCATCGCTTCTCTTCCTCATCATTCCTCATCTCGATCGCCGCTGCCATATTCCGCTCTGCTGCTTAGTGGCCTCTCAAAGCCGATGCATGACTGAGGATGAAAGGGATTGGGAGGTGGCCGTGATCAAATGCTCGCTCTGCGTGCATGCAAAATGCTCATCACTTCGGCATGCTCAGTATATATCATCTATCCATGTGAGTCCAGACAGAAATCTCCATTCTTGCCTCACTCGTGAACAACAACAAGATACTCTGACTCCTTCACTAGGAGCTGTGAATCCCTCACTCCAAACCCCTTTTCCTGCACGGTACCCTGGCCTCGGACATGGGAGTGCTGACCCTCATCTCTGCCGCTTAACAATCAGCTGCACTGAGAGGACATTGGACTCTCACTCCAGTTGTACAAAGACAGAACATCTCATAGCAACAACACTCACTACTTAAGCTCCCCCAACATCTTTCGGTTAAACAAACGGATTGTACACTAGCATTTCATATTAGATTCAATGTTATTCGTAGGCTACAATTATCAGAACAATACGAATATTCAGTTGGCACAAAGGTGTAGTGCAGATATATATGTTAAATAAAAGACTCGTCCTATTGTTCGTTCGACTTTCCACCACATTCACATAAGCTAGATGTGATGACGTGGCTACTTCCTTTGGTGCATTCAACAGATGAATGTTTGAAGTTAAAGAATGAAAGACCCTCGCTGGCACTTTGTTTTTGGACAAACTTTGGGATTCCGTGCAGCTTTTCCATATTGGAACTAGAGATTACAAATCTTGTCAATCGGTTGGTTGCTCTGTAACACCCATTATGATTATCAAGTCACCTTCCATATGTCCATTCACCCGATGAAAGACTTCCACTGTTGGTCTGTCGAATGCTGACCTGGATAAAGTGCCTAATCAGCACCGAGAGTTCTCTTTTGTTTGCCTTCTCTCCCTCTCACTCCTCCTCTCAGTTCCTCCCCTGATAGTGAGTTTTCTACAGTGGAGGTCTGGGAGACATGATAACAGTCTGTTTTTGTAGGCTTCGCACTGTCACGCTTCCACCGGGCACGGTGTCTCACCCTCTGTTTGAAGTTTTAGTATTTTCCCCTCATCCAGACAACAGGGATAACCGTTGTGCCCTTGTGATGAAGATGAACAATGTTGTTCTTTAATCGTTGTGTGTGTGTGTGTGTGTGTGTGTGTGTGTGTGTGTGTGTGTGTGT